GGGAAGGAGGTGTAAGAAAAAAGGAATCATTCAAGAAATACTTAAGGGGAACTCTGTGAGCTTCTGGCAAGAAACTTTACTCTAGGGTTATAAAGACCACAGCTCTACCTGTAAAGAGTTCACAGCGCTGTGGGCACTGAGCAGGTAAGGATCTCACCCCCACCAGTGAGCAGAGATGTTAAAGTTAAAGCCAGATTAAGCCATGTGACTCCCAACTCTAAACTGCAGGGCTCTTTCCACTAGAACAGTGCCTTTCAAATGTTGAGTGGGCTTATAGTAAAAAATACATCCTGTAGCACTCCCCAGTACAGATACACGTTTCTGATCTTTTTATCTTCATTCTATTCTATTTCACTGTTTTTCAATGTTCAGCCTGACACACTAAATTGGCTTATGACTCAAAGGCGGAAAAATACTGCTCTAGGAGATATATTTTTAATCTCTAGAGTTTTGATGTCAGATAGAATTCCTAATAGTTTTTCTCACACAATAAATGTGTATCCCAGCAAAAAAGGTAAAACACTATCAAATAATCAAATAACCCACAAGGACTAATGGAGTCATGCCAGCTGTCACTTGGGGAATGGGGGGAAGCTAAACCTAATCTCCATCCGCTTTCCCTAAAGCCACAAATACCCAATCTGAGGGAAAGAGTGTTTTCTGGGCAGAAACAAACTGGTGGCAAGCCTCCTGACACCCCAGCTCCCTTCCGCCAGACTATGGCCCAAAGACAATTATTCTATATAGAAATTCTGGGGGCACCTGGGTGGCTCAGTCGGTTAAGCGGCCGACTTTGGCTCAGGTCATGATCTCATGGTCTGTGAGTTCGAGCCCCGCGTCAGGCTCTGTGCTGACAGCTCAGAGCCTGGCGCCTGTTTCAGATTCTGTGTCTCCCTCTCTCTGACCCTCCCCCGTCCATGCTCTGTCTCTCCCTGTCTCAAAAATAAATAAACGTTTAAAAAAAAAAATTTAGAAATTCTGGAGCTTCCACTTACAATGAATATTTTTTAAATGATTTTGTATAAGACTTTAACTAAAGGTGTTTGGATGGGAAACAATAAATTTATTAAAATAAGTGAATGGGGAGTGCCTGTGTGGCTCAGGTGGGCTCTTGACCTTGGCTCAGTTCATGATCTCATAGTTCATGAGATCGAGCCCTTTGGGCTCTGCACTGACAGTGTGGAGCCTGCTTGGGATTCTTTCTCTCTCTCTTTCTCTGTCCCTCCCCCACTCTCTCTCTCTTAAAAATAAATAAATAAACATTTAAAATAAATAAAGTGAACAAAAATTGAACTATTTTAAACACATTTTATGTAAAAAAAAAAAAAAACTCTCTGAAATTTGCCATGCTTCACTTAAATTGGGAGGAGGAAAGTGATTTATCCCAGATCTGAATAAAATATACAGAAGATCATTAGTTAAGCTAGTACCTCATCTTGTTTGCTCTCAAAATATTAGGTCAAAGACAGTATACAACTTTTCCTCAACATGAGATGTTTGTACAGCATTTCCCATGAAAGGAAATGTGGTAACAACTACATCACTACCTAGTAGCAAGCTAGGGATGAACAAACTCCAATGTCCTCAGAGTTCTTTCAACAAATGTGTTCTCTTGGGGGTGCCTAGATGGCTGTCGGTTGAGCACCTGACTCTTGATTTCTGCTCAGGTCATGATCTCACAGTTCATGAGTTCGAGCCCTACATCAGGCTTCCCACTGACAGCACAGAGCCTGCTTGGAATTCTCTCTCTCCATCTCTCTCTGTCCCTCCTCCATTCTCTATCTCTCTCAAAAATAAATAAATAAACTTAAAAAAAAAAGAAAAAAGAAAAAAGAAATGTGTTCCCCTGGAAAGTCACAAACAGGCAGAAAGACCAGAAAATCTCTTTCTCCATGTTCTGGGTCCACAGGCAGTACTCCAGCTCTAAAAACACAAACTAAGTATAAGAATGTTCATTCAAGTTCTTTGACTGGCCTTGCCATTCACCATCCAAGAAGCAAGTCTGAGTTTAAAGCAGTAGTTTTTGTGACATTTGCCTCAAATTAAAAGACAATTTTAGGGCACTTGGGTGGCTCAGTCGATTGAGCCTCTGAATCTTGGTTTTGGCTCAGGTCATAGTCTCAGCATCGTGAGATCAAGCCCCAAGCCCCACATCAGCCTCCACTCTGGGTGTTGAGCCTGCTTGAGGTTCTCTCTCAAAAAAATAAAATAAATTAAAAAAAAATTAAAACACAATTTTATAAGACTTTAACAAATTCTCCTATCATCCCCAAAGAAATCTGTTTAGAACTATGTTCAGAAAAATATTCTTTTTATAAAGACAAAATGCATTTTTCCTAAGAAAAAGGAAAAAGCCATCCTTAGTATTTATCAGATCTATCCAATGGAACTTTCTCTGGGGATGGAAGTGTTCTGTATCTGTGCTCTCCAATACAGTAGCCACCACCCACCTAATATAGAGCACTTGAAAGGTGATTGATGTGACTGGGAAAGTGTATTTTAAGGTTTTTTTTCATTTTAATTAATTTAAATTTAAATAGTTGCATTCGCCCAAGTACCTACCTTTGGGATAGCGTAGGTTAGATAATCAACAAAAGCAGCAGAGCTGGCTAACTCACTTGTCTTAGACTCAATGTCACAATTTGAAAAAATGATATTATACACAAATATTCAATCTCCAACTTCCCAATTAACATTTCATTACTTAATATTTAAGTTGTCCTTAGAAGTGTTTTTCAACAAAGTTTGGCGATTTCTATTCTGAAATATGAACATTTTAGATCTGCCGAGCAGAATCCCTTTGGCAGTGTTCAATTTTCTGTCTGTGAAACTTAAGCACAGGGAAAGGAAAAAACTGAATCCCACCTTCCTCTTGATACAAAGGGAAGAAATGGAATACATAATCCAGACAAAGGCTAATGTAACCTCCTAGGCTCTTTCATGGGTACATCTGCTCACCAATCCCCTGCTTATGTTGCTTTAGACCCAGCTGTGGCTTTCCACAAAAGTCATTTCTACATTTGTTTGACCTCTTGATTGTGTTTCCTTATGATCAAACCCTCTCAAAGCATTCTACCTATTGGAAAACCATTTAAAATATAAACAGTAAATTTTCTATATTTAAATGGTTAGAATGCAGTAGCCTGAAGAGAACAGATGCTTCAGAGAGACTAAAATATGCAGATCATGCCAGGACCACTTTCCAAGCAGGTGGCAAAAGAAACTGCGCAGTTCCACAGTCAGCAAGGGAAAGACACCACAAGAAAATATCCTCAGAAATGCCTTGCAGCCATGCTGTGGCCAAAGGTTAACTCACTTTAACTTTAAGCAGCATCACTGCACTCACTACAATCTCAAGGTCAATGCCAATTGTTTTTCAGCTTCTCATCATGCTAACCCTTATACACAAACAAACCACACACACGGGCACAAACATTTCACTAATTTCATTGTGTTTAAGTAGAATGAACTTCTAGAACTCTAATCTATGAGTTGACTTAAAACTGGCCAACAAGTATACAATACAAAGAGCAAAGTCACGAGTACCACATATCATATTTGCGGAAGCTTAAAACTACACAGAACAAAGCAATTCTAAGACAGCAGTACTTCAGGTAAGAATTCAGCACCATAGTTGAGAACTTCATTTTTTCCCCCTCTACCACTACTACTGCTACCACAAGGTCCTAAAAGAGGACTAGAAGCTCACCTACTGTACCCAAAGGGCATGGGATCTCAACAAGACCCGTGACAGGGAAGCAATGCACACACTATCCCAGGAGCTTTGGGTCTTGCAGGATAATAAATAGCATTGCCAAAAGGAAAAGACTTCATCTGGGGCAACTGAGAGCACTCTGACCTAGCAAGAGTCTGTTGGACTCCATAAAAGCTATGTGTTGTCAGTCCTTTTTTTATGTATATGGATAAAATCTACAGATGCAGCCTGGGCAGGAAAGAAGGAGACAGAGAATTTAAAACGGGGAACTGCCATGCTGTGTGACCCCGAGAGCACCCTCATACCCTCCTCACTTTTCCAAGCTGTGAACTACAGACTCCACTGACCGCAGCATCTGCAGCATGATCTCTAAGGAAACTATCCATTATAAAATCCTATGATAACAGCTTCAATGTCTAAGACAAGTGCTAGAAACCTCAATGCTTTTTTTTTTTTCATCTTCATAATTCTTAGGGGAAAAAAGTCAAATGAATATAATAAACAAAGAATTTTCACATCAGAGGCCCAAGTTCTCAAAGCACATAAGGCTTATAAAGAGAAAATAAAAATAAACGCTACTTCTCATTTAGTTCTTTAAAAGTCCACTTCAGAACAGCATTAATCTGGCTCCCCAAAATGCAATTTAAAGGCAGAAATATAAATCTACTTAAAGACACTCAGAACATAAATGAGTTTGGCATAGATAAAACTTAATTCTTATATTTAATATTCTAATACACATGTATGAGATTAAAATATAGATTCTAGTAAACAAAAGAAACATACATCACAGAAAGAAAGCCATGTTTTGCTTGACTCAAAATGTTAACACAATACTACATTAAATGAAAAAACTTATTAAACTATCTTAGCACAAATATGGCCCAGTCCTTTTTCTAAATTCCTAATGTGTTTATGGGCTAAATATGTTATCTCATTTTATAAGCCCTCAAGTCCTATATAACCCACTCCTATTCCTCTAGGTGAGCCTTGGCAGACCGGTTTGAATCAATGTCAATCACATTAAAAACATACTATTTAAGGAATTTATCAGGATGTAACTATGAAATTATACATCTGAAAATATCATCGTTCCTAAATTGGGATTCTGAAAAAAAAAAAAAAAAAAACTCAATAGAATTGTTTTCTATTTATTTTTTTAATAGCCAAAACATCAAGGCGTCTTCAACCCCAAATGTAATATATATTTAATCATGGCTCCTGACTTAGGCATAACATTATAAATTGTTTCATACGCGTTAAACAAAAGTGCTCACACTCTTACCTGTATATCCAGCATACCATCCCCAAGAAGCCACCATTCCTAAAAGCCATTTATACATGAATCCTTCAATATACCAGAACCGCTTACTGTCCAGCAGTCGAAGGGGCTGAAGTACAATTACATAGCAGAGGTAGGATAAAAGAGCAACCAGGTTGTTGGCGACCATGAAGGCAAACCTCAACAGGGCTTTCACCAAGATCCAGCCCAGCCACGGAGCTTCTTCCAAAGTCACAGCCATTCTCACATGGGCGTCCGTCCTGTCTTTCTGAGGTGAAAGAAAAATTCATTTAAAAAGGAAAATGGATCATCCACATCCAAATAGTCACTAACATAGAAATCGCCTCCAGCACAAAAACACGAGAAAAATCGAGGGTCTAAGCTTTCGCGGTGTAGTACCTCGGTGATCTCTCCGGGAAATTCCAGAGGGGGACAGAGAGCGAGGGAGGAGGAGCCGCACAAGGTCAAGGGAGCTGTTCACGGAGGCACAGGGTATGTCATAATATATTTAGCAAACGATAATACTATCCCCACTAACTAATCAGTGCCCGTCCCCGCACCGCGCCTCACTGCAGTCTGCTGTCTGGACTTTGGGGAAGAAAAACAGACCCACTTGCTTCAGACCCCCTCAGTATTTCCAAACTGACGACACGAGTGAAAGGAGGCTGTTGCAGGGACCCGATCCCCTTTCCCAGCTAGGAGAACCTGGGTACCCGAACCACTACCATTCCTGCACATCGATCGTGCCTTAGAACGGTCTCTCGCCTCAGCAAAACGAGTTACGCTAACAATGTTCATTTGCGGCAAAGGGGTTTTTGTTTAACCTTTGACTCAGGGTGAAAAAAAGGAGAAGGGCCTAGAAAAGAGGGCAGGAAGGTGAGAGGAAGAAAGTGGGGGCTAAGACAGCGAAAGGAGGAAGGACGGGAGTAGGGGGAGGGGAGCAAAAGCCAGAAGGAGGTGAAGGCACGGGGGGCACAGATGAGAATGAAGTCCCGGACCGGAGGGCAGGCAAGCCAGGGATGATGTTAGAAGCGCGGAGGAAGAGG